AATTTTGATGTTTTAGCTGAAAAAAGCTCATGAAATTCATTAAGATTGCGATTAAATTTAGTTTTAGCACGAGGCTTATTGTTTTCCACGATTGCTTTTGTAACACTGTAAATATTATTCATGAAATGTACCTTTTTACATCACACTTACATGGCCGTCAGTCAAGGTGGCCAAAATTTTTGGCCCCTGGTACAAATACCTTGCCCACCCCTGCATTATACTAATTGGACTTAGCGAATGTCGCCACGTTATATATAAACTGTGTGTACTCTGAGCAAGACCATAGACGCGAAGATGGCCATTTGAATATTCCAGTTATGGTTGGAACAAGTGGACCAGTGGTCGGCAATGTTTTTAGTGAGTCCCATATAGTTAAATGGAAAAGGTTCCATGGCCCAACAATCGTTGAAAATTTTAAATTTAACCACGTAATAAACTCGCTATGTGGTTTCTGCACAGTGAAATGAATCACTGTTTATTAATCGAGGATACGAGTGACATACTGAAATTTCTTTAAAATTACCTCATTTTTTCAACAAAATAGACATTTTGCTAATTTAATATCTGTCCATCTATATCTGAATAATTACGGTACTCCTGAATGAACCAAGACCGCGGCCACCGGAACGTAGTATGTGTACTAGGTTACTGTTATGCCAAAATTTTATTCCAATTTTCCTAATTTTATTTACATTACGAGTTCGGGAACTAGCCAAGTGACTCCCGTAGAATTTGTACCTGAAATTATGGCCTAGCCCTAACCTGGTACACATAATACGTTCCGGTGTCCGCCATCTTGGTTCACATTCTTCGGGATTACCTAAAATTACAGCAAAAAAAAGCATTGATAATCAAATTTTTTTTTCATATTTTTCAATAGATTGTCGTTTGATTTTAAGCTAATTTATCGGCTCTTCTATCTATAAATAAATTTATAAATTATATCGAAATTAAACCTAAATTTTGAGGGAAAATCACGAAATTGGCAAAAACTTTTCCCTCGTCCATATTTATCTTGCAGTTGTGGCAATGTATTTTTATCACAGATTCTTTCAATTTATCAGCTGACTGACGCGGCGTAAATGCCTCTTCGACATTATAAATCGTTATAGCAATAAAAAATGCACGAGTTATGGCATTGTAAATGCGTTAATGCCGTCCAGCTGACCCCAATTTTACGGATGACTGAATAAAACCTCAAAAATGTTACGCATGACTGCGTCGTATCAAAAAATTTCCATTTTTAATGCAGACATAATAAAGTAGAACATTCTTCAAAATCGATTTTGTGATTAAATAATAATGTCCTGGGCGGGGCCAGAAATGTAGGCGTGTCATGGCTGGCATATCGACTTTTTGCATAATTTTATCTCTATTTTCTCCTACTTTATAAGTGAGAAGTAGATGCTGTACCAAACAGCATTACGGGAAGAGAAATAAAGATAGATAGCAACAGCAAATCAACAAAGAATATTAACATGCTGTAGGCACGATGACTTAACGGTTAAAGCAGGCATGGTATTTGGACCAGGGGCCAAATATGTTGCCCAGCTAGACTGGGGGCCGTTTAATTGTCACGTAAATAGTTACCATTTTATGAACAATATTTACAGGGTTACAAAAGCAAAAATGGAAAAAAGCCCCGTGTCAAAACTAAATTCAACCGCAATTTCAACAAACTTCTTGATCTATATTTAATAGCAAAAACATCAAAATTTGGTTTTAGTTTCAACAGACGGGCCAGATTGAATTATCCAACGGGCCGGACTTAGCCTGCGGCCGTAGTTTGCTTCGTCGGTATCGCAGACAACACAAATCAGATTCAAATCCCATGCCACCACGTCACCCAGGGTGTGAAAATTATGTAGGCAGTGCCCAGCCGGAAAGACTCCGGTCCTTCCGAAAATAGTGGCTTCTTGGGTACTTCCGTAGTGTGTGTACCAGGTTAAGGTTAGGTCATAATTTCATTCCGATTTTCCTTATTTTAGTTTTATTACGAGTTCGACGACTGTCTGTGTTAGCGAAGGGAATATAACCCCTGTCCATAGGTTTCAGTCCTTTACACAACTTGATGTAAAATAGGCGAAAAAAATTAGTTATCTTCATATTGGTACACATTGTACTACAAATACTTTTTGAGCGCGCTTCTTGCATATCTTTGGATATCAGTAACTGCTTTTACATGGCGAAAGACGTGAATGAGCGTGTCATATATTCGATGATAAAGTAATACGTTTAAATAGGAAAATATTTTAATTAAATAACTTCGAAAATATAAACTCTAATGGGAAATTAAAAAATCCATTGTCGTCATTTGACTCTTTTAGCATTATGTCGTCATTGTGGTCTACGACCCTACGTAACAATTACAGTAATATCTCTTGTGTAGTCACAGATCGGGGTTATCGCATTTCACCTTACTTCAAGGCCGCGGTCAATGAAAATGGGTATTTATGATATTTGAGACATAATAAATCAAAAGATGATAGAAATTATCACTAGCATAGTCATAAACAAGATTATATTATTTGTGGGCAGATTTTACGCTTGAGCTGGTAGTTTCGATATATAAATTCTGGAGCGTTAACAGTTTAAATGTGTTGTTGTGGCCTCTGACGGTAGTGGTAGTATATTAGCTTGTTGACATTATCGCGGACTATTTCGCTTCATTCGGCTAATTTAATATTGTTCAGTGGACGAAGTGCTCGAGTCCAGCAAGCAGCTGTCATTTTTCGACAAGATTAGGAATACTATAGGTTTATTATACGAGTCAAACATGTACTTGTTGCTACCGTAACAGACGTATTAATATACTATATGAGGATAAGGGAATGTGTAGATTGTCAGTGCATTTTATATTTTATCTATATATGCGCTGATATTATTTTAAATATTGTTTACCTAATTTTAGCCAGAGCTGCTGTGATAATCGGGGTTATCTGAGACCGGCGTATGGCAAGTAAGGAAAAAATAGATTGTGCCAGTTTTTAGGAAATTTCTCGTAATAATTATAATAAATTCAGGAATCTGGTGCATTTCGAGAAAATCAGTTTTATTAAACACATGCCGTTGAAGTAGCACGTACAAACATAAGATGGCCAAGTCCTTTCGCGGGCAACGCTGTAGCAAATCACAAAGAATAAGTTAGGTGTACGAGTGGTTATATGGCCTCAATCGCCATTTGAATGGTCTCGTACATGGGAAGCTATTGGGCTATTATATATACCATAAGTTAGGAATGGATATAGGCCCCCAATGGACATGTGAATGGCCGGCCTTCAACGTAAATAACATATTGGACTTTCATATTTGGCGACAGGTTTTATTTTTAGTGTAGCCAAAGAAGACGAGTGCCGCCGATTCAAAGTGTTCCGTTAATGTAAATTGTAAAGACTTTATTACGTCATTAATGCGTTCAAATTCCGTACATTTCAAAGTATCAATTTCTTGCATTGGAGTGAGACTTATGCAGCGCTTTGTTAAGAACGAATGTGATGTCGAATACCTCGCCAAAGAAATGCGTTACCCCTTCATAATTGCAAAATACGAACCACCCTTCGTTATGAGTTAGTTACTGACAGATTGTATAACAGACTCAGTGTTGATTGATGTAATATATATTTTCATGTATAAATATAGTCGACATTAGCACTAAAACAACAAATTATCACTTCAACATTGGATTATTGTTATCAAACGAAATCTTACATAAGGAAACATCAATCATCAATCTCTTTTCGTGAGTACGTAACAATAAAATGGGAAATTCACCAAAAATTTAAAGTAAACCAACAGCATCATCACATGACTTTACTTGTTCTCGCCAAAAACGCATTTGAGCATTAGGATACTGAACTTCAGTTCTAGATAGGGTACTCTCGTGGTATGTGTACCAGGTTAGGGTGAGGCCATAATTTTATTCCGATTTTCCTTATTTTAGTTCGAATACGAATTCTGCGACTGTCTGTGTTAGCCAAGTAAATATATCCCCTTCAGTCACTTTACACAACTTGACGTAAGAAAGGCGAACAAAATTAGTTACCTCCATATTGGAACACGTACTTCCGGATCGCCCTAGATAGCGTACATTGAGTGCAGTTTTAAAAAAAGTGTTTGCATAGAAACATTTGTCCATAGACGGCACTCGTTTATTGTGACCTAGCGAAGTCTTCTGTGATTTCTGGCTTTTTATATTGAGTTTACCCGTCTAGGTGAATGGCAGTGATCAGTTTGATCAGTTTTGGCACTTTTGACGTACCGTGTTTCTATTAGGAGCGTACTATGTTCCCCCGAAAATAAGACTAGGTTTATTTCAATTTTCTTTCGAAAAATAACACAAGGACCCATTATTGGAGATGTCTTTCATTTTGTTTTTTTTTTTAAACAAAATTACAAAGTAGATAATTACGAGATTTTCAGATATACAAAATATGAAAACCGATATTTACTTATAAATAACACGTTTTTATTTGAAAAAAATTCGCGCTATCGACTAGGTCTTATTTTAAAATTGTTTTTAAAATTCAGGCTAAGTCCTATTTTCGGGAAACACGGTAGAAGCTAGCTTAGAGTAAAGTTTTAGACTACCAGTAATTTTTTAATTTTACCTCCACTTCTACTTTCGTTATCTGCCAGGTAATATTTTGTATTTTAGAAGATTGACAAGCATGCGTAGTTTCAATTATTAGTCCTGTTAAGTTAATGTTACAGAAAAAAAATTTCGGCGCTCCAAAAATGTGTTTACCAATATGTAGGTAACTAATTTTGTGGTAAACACACTACGAGAGTACCAAATTTTGTATTACCGAATTCGGGAAATACTTGAAATGATAAATTGTATCGGACTCGCTGCATGCACGGTACTCCATTGTTTCTCAACAGAGGTAATTTAATCAAGTGGTGATTGTGTGTTTGTGCCATATATCCATCCTCTTTTCTGACTAATGTAATTCGATTTTTCTTCAAATCTTTTTCTATATTAACGTTTTTTTTCTTATTTTGCATCAGATAAAATAAAAATACAATGTGTATTTAATATATATATATATTGATAATGGACGGCGGTAGTACACCACCACACACGTTATGTGGAGTTAAAAATTGGCCTAATAACACTTTTGATAACATAATATCCGGAGGAGTCGACTTGGCACTATCCGTAAACTGCACCATCGAACCGGATACCACCGGTTTAGAGCCACGAAATGAAAAAATGTACTGTGAACCTATTGAATCGGCACCACTTGCTATCGTATCTGGATTAGTCGCAACTGCGACCATTGTCGGGAATTTATTGGTCATTTTAGCGATTTTACGTGGATCGTCTCGATTTCATCGACCAATGTTTTGGTTAATAATACATCTGAGCTGTGCTGACCTAATTGTTGGATTTATGCTGTTATGGAATTATTGTCTCGCGTCGTTAATGGATATACATAACACAATAACAAGTTTAATGTTCATATTTTCCTTATGGGTGGCGTCAGAATCTTCATCTACATTGGGATTTGTATTACTTGCTGTGGACAGATATATCCAAATTTTTCACAAAAATTTTCATCGTGCATACGCAACACGAGTCACTGTTGGTATAGCTATATTTTTAGCTTGGGCAATTCCTGTTTCGTTCTTTATGATTGCGCCCTTTGCTTTTGACTGGTCGTGCAAAGATACGTGCATCTGTTCAGAAGAAAAATACATGAAATGTCTCCCAAGATCTGATTGTTCTCAAATCATCCCTCCTTTTAAGAAAACTTACACCCTTACTGTTGGAATTTTTCTTTTCATTTGCATTCCCCTACCAGTCACGATATATACTATGATATTCATAAGATTTCGCCGGAAAACTCACGTCGTAAAACACACTCGAAAACGACATGATATGAGACTCATTCGTACCTTGATTGTTATATTAGCGGTGTTCATCGTCACCCTAAGCCCCGTGGCCATTTTGATAATGGTAGATTACACCACAACGAGGCAGAATGATACAATGATATCCGTTGCGTTTTATATTTTCGTTTTGGCGTTTTTAAACTCATTTGCTAATCCACTGCTGTACATGTGGAGAATGTCAGCAATACGAAGATCAATACGACAAAGGGTTTTTTATTGTTTTTGGGATAAACACGGAAAACAACGTCGGGACATAACTTCATTTCAAAGTGATCAACGCTCACCAACGAGTCATCGTCATCGCTACGATACCCCAAACGACATCGACGACAAAAATCACAAATACGTTCCACCCAATAACAACATGCCACGAGCGGCGGTTTTGTGTCTCCGACAAATTAAACGTGGCCGATATACCAACAGCCGGACATCGACTCCTATGTCAGAAAGAGCGAATAATCATAACGAGGAAGCTGTCAAATTAGCTCCAAATGAGCCCAACCATTTAAAATCGAACGGGACATCTCAAGAAGGTGATGTAATAATGCATAATTCATGCAACAATAAAGCTGATTGTGAGATTACAGAGCTTTAGGTCATGGCTCCTGTAAAACATATTGTGACGTCATACCAGCTCAAGATTTTTTTTCGACTTACTGCAGGGGAAGTTGGATGCGAAGGGAATAGCGGATATATCCAACAATTCGCTAAATCGGGAGATTGCCCTATTTTAAAGGATTTTATGAGTTTGAAATGAGATGTACCCTCAAAACAGGGACATACGAGAGAGCCAGACTCACAGCAACGTACCGACAAGTGAACACGAACCAAAAGCCGGAGGTATGACCTTCGTGTCGGTCATTTAAGAAAAAATTTCAACTCAATTGTATGAAAAAAAAATTTTCTCCTTTTGTCTGACACTGTGTAGATATACTGTCCTTATGTTTCGTCCTTTTACAATGCGATTTTTCCCACCAAAAACTATTCGAATTTTTTATTTGTGAATTTGTTTTTGTATGATCTGATAAAATTAATTCTTCATAACTTGTTTCATTGAGCTCCTTGCCACCCGAATTTGCGTCCGCCAAAGCTTTGCAAAGATAGTTTTTGGAACTGTGGCCCTACTAAATGTAGGGGGAGTATTTACATATACCGATAAGACGGCTTTATCCTATAGCGAACCACGGGCTCTCGCAAGAGTATTCCCCACCACCGATCCGCGCCGTAGCATGTATGGTCTAAAAAATTATGGTTGGCCAGTACGATATGTAATCCCACCCTATTTACGAATCGTGTAATCATTCTTGTATGATTGGTCGTCAAATTCTGATGACAAAAGTGATTTTTAACCTAAAAATAAAAATAAAACCTTTCAATGAAACAATATTCACTAAATGTTTTGGAACTGTTTTAGAGTATAAATTTGAATGCATTTTTGAATTTTCTTGACCTTTGCTACCAAACGTAAATTTCTGCTCTGTGTGGATTTAATGTATTTATTATAAAACCTTCCATCAAATTACTTTGGGAAAATTCAAGTGGGAATTGATATCTGAATAATGTTAATTGGGATCGAAAATTTTAAACAAAATGTCAGCCGATACGCAATGTGAAAAGTTCGGACTTTTCTAAATAATCATGTAACTAATAACCGAATAGTAGCGTCGGATAGAAGTTCAAGTCGACCGAGAATTAGTTGATATATATCAGGGGTGGCCAACAAGTCGATCGCCACGTTTCGAGTAGTCGATCGCGTCTGATGTTGAGTGAATTTAATAACATACCCAAAAAAATTGCCTTGAACCGGTTTAATACAGCGCCTGTTGTGTGTTTTGAACAGGAAGAATATAGTACTGTACATGCGCAAAATACGATATACACATGCAGTAATTTGGTATGGACAAGCCTGATAGAGCATATCATTACGTAATAAATGCAAGTTTCGCTGCTGCCAAGTTTTAGAAATGAACTTGCAGAATATCGTGTGTCTTGACTGGCAAACGATCCTACAATAATTTCTGCACTATGCGAAAGTTATTGTCTCACTCCAAGAGTATGTGTGATAAATTTTATTCGCAACGGTAGCAGTGGCATCAGAATGCCCAATTTTTTTTTAATTCTAAGCAAGCAAAAAAGTGGATTTGAAGAAAATTGTAAATTAGATACTGAAGTTTGAGCAGTCATGTGATAATAATACATGGATATTTTTCAAGGTTTTTTTGAGGAATTGAAAACTCTTACGACTAAAAATTAGACAGGCCCTATATCTGAATTGTATGATTTGAATAAATCTAAAATAAATAATGAAACATTTACTCCGGGTACAATTATATATTCAAATTAACAAATTGAATGGAATATATAAAATGCAAATTTTTGAGGAAATTTCATTGAGAATGCGCCCGCAGAACCAAGCTTATTATTACCAAGCAGCGGTGGAATTTTTGTATGCTTGTGTGCGGTTATCTGCGTATTCAGTATTCATTCATTTTTGTTTTTGACCTTATTACTGATTATTCGATCGTGAAGTATTTTGAAGATTTTAGTCGATCGCGAACGAAAGCAAGTTGGCCACCCCTGATATATATGATCATTTGTTTGAATCAAAAACAGCTAACTTTTTGCTCAATTGGCACAACATTTTACAATTTTTTCTCGTATGTTAGGTTTCCGAGGAAACAATTTACCAATAGGACCTCATCAATTTGAACGTAATTTGAGGAAATGCACAAATTTGGAATTTTTGTACAAGGCCCCTGCCACCGCTCAAATTGAAATAAAATTAGTAATTATCTAGTTATGGTTGGGAGGCAAGTAAGGCAGATTGCGCTGAAAATTCAAGTTTCCAAATCATTCTTAACCCAAACTCGGAAAGTGTTAAGTTATCTCCAGATTTATAATCTTGTCTAAGTAGGTACCTGTTCTCCCACTGCATTATATTTTCATGGGGCATTTAATATCTAATATTGTCAAATTTTGGCTGTAATTGTGGAATTTCAACTTTCAAATTGACTAATAGGAAATGTCAACAAGCGTTACTTAAAATCAAATTTTTGAAATTGTGATTCATTTTTCCGGTCTTATATTTAATTATGAAACATCTAGTATGTCAGAATGACGCTTGTGGTAACGCGAATCCGTACATTTGCACAAATGCAAATACGTTGGATTACGTATTGACGATTTGGTTACAACAAACTTATGTTTCCGGGAAACATTACTCGCGTTTGTGATCTTTGAAAGCGACTCAAAATTGAAGAATCTGTACAGCTTATGGATTTCATAGAAATCGAATTGACTCTTGTTTCGAAGTTAGAATAATTTAACACAGTTTATTCGAATTAGAATAGCAATTTATGACTTAATTTCAGTATGTACAATTCTGGTTCAACTATTTGACTTAAATTTGATTATTGATCAGAAAAAGGCGCAAACATTACGTGTTTACAATCCATAATCCATTTCTGACGACTCTTTTTGAAATCAAAAAATGAATATTTTACGAGACAGGTAATTTGCTATAGGCTGAAAAAGCCGGGTCTTTTCACGAGCGCGTAAACGCGGCGACTGTTTCAGAATGGAATGGGAATTTCCGATTGAATATACGTCATAATTTGGCGCCATAAGTACAGACTACATGCTTACGTGAAATTTTATGCAATTTATGATTCTGTGTACATCACGCAGAAACTACTTAGGAACTCTTCGAACTTTTGGTATTTCGACGAGTTTTGTAGGAAAGACTGCAAATTACAAAAACAAAAATCTGTATATAATATGTATATTTTCATGTTTAAAAGAAGTATCGCTTAATGATAAGCTAGATCCGGGGTTCTCAAATGTTGGGGGGGGGGGGGGGGCTAGACCATTTTTTGAATTGAAAATACAAATATTTGTTAGATTCGATCGTGCCCGCCTTATTTTGGATATTCGCAATTCTTTATTGTTTAGATTGCAGAAAGCTATTGTTCTTATTATTATTTTTATTATCTGTTATATTACTTTCGCCCTTCTATCTGTTATTTGTAGCTTATTGTTAGCTAAATATTTTTGAAATGGGCGCCATACCTGAAAAATTCTAAAGGCGTGAGAATCACTGAGCTAAGTGAAATACCGTTGCTGTTATTAGCGCGTAGCCGTAAATTTAGGAATTTCCTTTCTGTCTCATGCCCGCTGAAACCGCCAACATTCAACTTAATCTGACCACACAACATGAGATTTTGTATCATTTGACATGTAATTTGCTTCATATTGGCGAAAAAGTCGTGGGAAAATAAACGTAGCGTCTTTTTTCCGAATTTCATAAATTTTCGCATGACGTGACGTCATTTTCATGTGAAGATATTTGTTGAAAGTGGAAACCACAGGCAAACGAATGATGCGATATATTTACTTCAATATTCAAATTCGTACATTTTTTCGATGAATTTATTTAAATGATGGGAGTGTTTAAAGCTTTGTGTGAAATTTTGCAGTCGAAGCAATATGATCGAGGAGGATCTCGTTCGCAGAATTCTTGAAAATGAACTAATTCTGGCGCATTTATAGTACTTTTGTTATTTCTGACGTGTTTGGACGCAAGAATCTTTTCGTCTTGTCAAAAATTTTTCAGGTTGTTTTCATGCGAGACCGGAGTCCAATTTCATTCTGCACATTCAGCATGTTATATCGTGTATTCGGATACGTTATTCCGAAAGATGCTTATGTATCGAAAATGCTTGTAAAAATAAACAGAATCTGACACGTTCAAGGGCTTTTTTTGGTATTTTAGACGTGTTTTAACGCTGGTACCCATTCGCGATTTCAAAAAATTATTTTCAAATGCCAATATCGTCAATGTACGGAACATATTATTTTAGAAACTCGACGATAGAAAAGTTAATCTCCGGGACTTACAGGTTTTTTTTTCGAGCCCTGAATCCTATTTCATTTTGCACCTTTAGAATGTTATGTAGTGTATTCGAAAACGTTATCCCAAAAAAGATGTTTAAAAATGTAATTCAGTCATGTTCAAGGACTTTGTCGTTTTTTCAGACATGTTTGAACGCAGGTACCTATTCGCGATTTCATAAAAAAATATTTTTAAACGCGTTTTCGTCAAAGTACGCAACGTATATTTTTAAAAACTCGACGACAGAAAAGTTAATCTCCGGAACTTACATTTTAAGCCACGTTAATGCAGTGTTTTGGCAACATTGCAATTGTAGTTTACGCTATTACCGTTGCATTTAGCTTGCGTTCCCAGCTGTTTATGTTTGACTTTTTATAATGATGGATTGCAACTTCATATCGTAAGGTGCTTGTTCCCCTGGGTCCCGTGACGTCACTAAATGCGAAATTGATTGGGCATGTATGAAACGTGCCAAATTATCAAGTATAACTCGTATATAATACGGTATTTATTTGAGTTTACCATGCTTGGATTGGATCCAAAATTCTACTGCATACCGCTACGTAACTGATGGCTCTAAGGAGCCCATAGGTCTTGGAAAACGCTTGATTGATTGGTACTTTAGCCCCCGTTTTAGAGTAACCACGCGACCACATAAGCTTCAATTGGGAGGTAAAAAAGAGTTGGAGTTGGCCAACCTTTGGATTAGAAGTAATGTGTATTCCACTAAGTAAAATATTTGGTTTTCAAGAATTTTCATTTCTGGGCGTTTTAAAAAATAGTAATCTTCGGAACTGTGCGAAAATGTTCATTTATTTTTCAACTCATTATCGGTTACCGCAATGATAAAAACGGTCTTTCTTGAGTGAGACGAAAGTGTTTTCAAAATGTCAATTAACGTTAATTTAGTTTTATAACCTTTGGCCTTCCTCTTACAGTAAAAGTGTAATTCATCAATGTAATCTCGTTTACAGACGAACGATATTTTATCGTTCTTTTCAATGCTCTTCATCGTTTCTTGGTTAGTCTTTGTAGTAAATAGAAAGTATTTGGTTACATTGACTGGCATGGCACATTAATTAAGTATGATTCCATCTAAAATCGACAAAATTAATGTAAAAATTGTTATTATAAGCTTTTGCCACAATTAAGTCAAAATAATTCACGTGTGATTGATAAATAATGTTTTTTTTTATTGTTATTTTACTTTTAATTGATATCCAGAACAAAATTTGAATTGGAGAATTTGGGTTACATTACTTTCCATTATTTCCAATTTAACAATGTAACAGAAAGTTGAAAGAAATTCTTATTTGATCGGTCTCATATTTCTCGATCAGCTTCCAAAGTTTCACGGAGAGTCTCTTGCTTGAAAATTTTAACAAAGCGCATTATTTATGGGAAACGATGAGATTGATGAAATGTAAATTGCAACTTTAACTTCTACGGTCTAACTGCAAATAACAGGGAGTGCGCGGGATTTGAACGAAATTTGTTTTGCAAATTATTTTCAACATAAAATTGCAAATAGAATTTTGACATGGATGCAAATTTTGTGGTCAAAACTTGTCTGAGGTTTGGGAAAATTGGGTGTAACGTATTTTATAAGATTTCTACTCATCCGAATATAATCCACGAGCAGAAATTTACTACACAATTTGTCTACATGTGCATATTACATTGGTTGTTTATGGATATGTCATTGGCTGTATATGACATTGGCATCATATGCATATGACATTAACTGTATATGCACATGCCATTGGCTTTATACGTATATTCAGTTGGCTCTATATGCATACGAGTTGTT